CTCTGAATGGCATCCTGTTCCTCTAGAATATCAAGCACACCACGCAGCTTGGTGTCATCTGCAGACTTGCTCTCATGAGTATAAATACAGCAGTTGAAGCTCATAAATGATATTTGTCTTGATAATTCTTTTCTAATTAGAAGAAATTGAGGGTGGGCATCGTGTCCTATATACTTGCTGTGAAAGTTGGTGTTATATCCAAACCTGGACATCTGTTGTATACAACCACCAAATTCAACTCCCCCATCAGTTCAGCTGACGCTGGAAAACCCACTGAAGGTTCAGGGTTGTGGTTCAAGGTTGCTGTGGCTGTCCTTGTAGCAGACCCTCTTCTATGGAGTGCTTGAAATGTGTCTCCAAGGTGCAGATTTCTACTGGGGCTCTGCCATGGCTGCCTGCTTGGTTTATTTTTATCTCTTTTGTTTTCTGCACTTTATTATCCAAGATTCAGAAGCTGAATCACGCTTTAATCCAACTTATTTGTGTGCAGATTATTTTTACATTACGAAATAGGAAAGCTTAATATGTGATTGGAGCTCTTAAGAAATCAGAAAGTTCAGTGTCTGCCTGGCCTGTGAGGAAAACTGCATTTGTGTTTAGTATGATAGATGAAGATTTAAGTGAACTAGTAGTTAACACTACTAGAACATAGGAAAAGAACGTAGGAAAATTACTTGCATGCAACTGTAGATTGCCAGTCTTTGACTTTGGTACTTATGCAAATTTTGAGTCAGTGTTTCTTATTTATCAGGGAGGCTGAGATGAATGTATTATGTGAGGCACATGCTATAGTCAAAACTGTTCTTCTGGAAAGATACTTTTATCCATATTCCTGTCACAATAAGTGCTTGTTTCTTTTAAAACTGGGAGCAAAACTGAGAGCACTACCTTTGTATATACTTGGGAGATGTGGTTAGTCTAGAGACACAATTTCTGAAAAGATAGGACTTTTAATAGTGCTGTTCTCTGCTTAGAAATGGTTAGATGAGTATACCTATAGTGGTCATAGTATTTTCTTCTTCAGGTTAAAATTCAAACTTCTGTGTTTAGCTGTTGCTCTTTAAATCCATTTGTTTGGTGGTTCTTTGTGTAGAAATTAGGTAGACTGGAAAGCAGTGACCTGTTCTTGTTCTGCCGGGGTGCATGTGTGGGCAAGTTCATTGTGGAAATTTGACAGAGTAATCATTTCTGGCTGTATGCTTTTTTTTTTTCCTTCTAGTCAGACATTTAGTTTAACTCCTGAATAAGCAACAGTCGTAAAACAACTGATTGATACACAGAGGCATTAACTCCACCCTGGTGCAGTGGCAGTTTAAGGCAAAGTGAAGGTTAGTGCTGTAAATTCAAGATAAGCCTAGTGATCAGAATATGAATATATATGTTTTTTATAGATAGATAGATAGCAAAAATGCATCTGAAAAGTTCCTGTTAATCTTAGTATAGTAGGATGAGATGTAGAAGGTGCTCAATTCGCAATTTTACTCTGGACAACATTCACATTACTGTTTTGAGAGAGCATGCTGTTTTGTCCTAATGCTTCAGTTAGCAATGTCAGTAAGACTTGGCTACAGCTTTTCTTTTCCCCATTCACTAAATCAAGGATCATAATCCACATATGTAGACAACAGTGGGTATTCGGATGTTGCTTGGCTTCGTATTGCTTCTGTATTTGTGGCTACAAGCCGCGTCCTCGTTGTGCAGCGTTGTTCCTGGAGGGCCAATATTAATCAAGGACAGCAGACCCACAGTTCAAACTGGTGGGGTGAGACTTGCCAGAGGTGAGAGCTAAGACTCCAGAAGGAAGGCATTCAAGCAAATGTCTCTTGCCTAAATCACTGTTAAAGGGGCTCTGTGAAAAATTATCCTTTCATTAAAAAAGGATCAGGCTAGAAAATAAGAGCTTTTTTAGGCATTTGGTCTAGATCTTTTCTCCTTCAGGCTCTTAAGGAAAAACAACTCCATCATAGAACATGTTCTGCTCACTTGAGTGTGTTTTCCAACGCAAGCTCTTCTGGAAGCCTGCTTTGCATTGCATCTCTGCTGCGAGGTTTAAGAACACTATTGAAGCTATGCCTGAATGTATTTTTGGCCAGTTTGTCCCTGTTTTCATATGCTAATGCACTTCTAGCTAGAATAGCTCTCATGTATATATTCCTGCATTTTATTTAACAGTCTTGCATACTATTGAGGTCAGATTAATAGGCTTACACGTGTACTTTTTGTTTATTCCCACTTTCCATGAATACTGCTTTTGGGTACTTCTGCTAATGCGACCCGTAGCTGACTGCCCTTGTGCTCTGATGCAACATTTCCTGTACATTTTACCCTTATTTTTTCCTGTTCTAGGAGCCTCAGCAAGTGGGACTCGGCAAACGCCGTGCTTCCAGTGTGTTCATAGACCCATAGCTTCCATTCATCAGTACTTTTCAGTTTTCTTTGCTCTTACTGATCTTTCCAGATAGCCGCTGGAAGAAATGACTTAACCTGCAGTGCGGGGCTCCAGACCTGTGTGTGGCCCCTCACGTAGGCTTTTACAACTTCAACACCAAGAAATGCCAAGCATACTGTAGTTTGAAGATCTTGAGCTCTGTAGGAATAGTGTTTTTATTTTCTAGCCCATGTCTGGGAAGTCAGTGTGCAGTCTGACAGTTTCTGGAAGAATAGCACTAAGTTTAAATGCTTTGTGTTTTGCAGTATACTCATTGTACTCTACTGGCAGGCTTCTTAACATTCATTGTAATTTTTTAGGTTTCCTGTGTTAGTATAAGTTTTGCAGGAGTATGTACTATTACCCCATGACACTTAATTTAGTTTTTTTTCAATTTTATGAGGTTTTCTTTGGTTTCATGGGCCAAACATAGCTGCTTATTCTATGGAAGGAAGTGACTTTTCATCAAACGGTTAGTGGTAAAATGAAGTAGAAGGATTACTTTGGATGATAACTTTTTCGTGTAAAACTTCAGAGCTCTGTTGTTTTACTTCAGTTAAGTCTTCATGAGGATTTTAAAAAAGAAAACCTGAAGAAACTACTTTGTATAAAGTCACTTACATAAATGTTTGGTATAACTCCATTTTTCTTCCAGTAGACTTGATACTCGGATCAAAGTGCTACTCTGTACAGCATGAAATACCAAATAAAGTCAACACGGGTCTGTCATAATAGTTGTTTTTTCTCATTCTAGCCAAGAATGTCAATACGTGGTATAAAGATACCTGCTCTGTAAGACTTGTCAGACTTGCTCTCAGACTTTGAAAGTGGAGAGTGGCCTGTCAACCCCTTTCCTTTCGGAAGGACGGCTGCAAGAATTATAAATCAGAGCTTCCTCTGAAAGAAGAATTTGCAAGTTCTCATCATGTAGAAGCTAAAACCTATGGGCCTTTTTGAGGGTTTGGTTGGTAAGACCCAAGCCTGGTATGGGTTCGTGGGCCTGTCTGATCAGCGGGCTCAGGACCCAGGCTGTCCTGCAGTCTGGGGTTTTCTGTACATCACAAGTTCCTCCCAGGCTCTTTGAGGAGGTGGTCATGCACACAGCAACTGGACTGTCTGATCTTTGCCTTCAGCTCTTTTAAAGTAGAAAGGAGGTCGTGGTCTCAGTTTGTCTTATTCTTTATCCTCTGTGCAGAGCTCTTTTAAGAAGCAGCGTTTGTCATAGTTTTAGTATGGCATTCAAGTCCTGGATATGAGACAGGACCAGAGGCAGCAGGCACAAACTGAAATACGGAAAGGTCTGTCTGAATATTGGGAGACGCTTTTTCATTGTGAGGGCGACTGAGCACAGGGACAGGTTGCCCGGAGAGGTGATGGAGGCTCCATCTGTGAAGATCTTCTAAAGCCATCTGGACGTGGTCCTGGGCAGGTGGCTCCAGGTGGCCCTGCTTGAGCAGGGGAGTTGGACCAGATGACCCTCCAGAGAGGTCCCTTCCCACCTCAACCACTCTGTGATTCTGTGGCTTCTGACCACAAGGGCTGAAGGCACTTCTCTGGTTCTTTGGAGCAGTTACGTGAAAAGTAGCTGATGATTAGCATTCCTGTTTGATATACTTGACTGTGGTCAGGCTCAGGCAGGCTGTCCCTTTGTGAGTACTTAGATTAATGAACTTGTGAGTTATTTACCTCTGAGCTAGAGAGATGAGGCTAGATATCAGCAGACAGTTTTAGCCTCTGGAGCCTTTTGCAAATTAGGATGGTTCATTAACTCTGTAGATGTAGGTTAGCCATTTAAACTCAAGGCCCTAACTTTTCATTTATCTTGTTGCTTAATGATACCCACGTAGTTGTTCTAGAGCAAAATTCAAAGAGGAGACCTCTACGCATTAGATACCTGTTCTGCCATGCTGCTCTTAGCAAGAGTAGAAGTATCCATGGAAATTGTTCAGCTAGTCATCAGGATATTGACAGCTTCTTTGTGGAGCATCCTCTTCTGCTTTCTGAAGCTGTTGATGAAATAATTTAACACATTTAAAATAATTAAACACATTTAACCTAAGGCAAATGTAAGTTACAGAACAGACTGTTCCACAGCAATGACAGTACCCATACCTATCCTTGCTTGCAGTGCCAATGAAATGTTAGCAGTAGGCTCAGCACTGATGTTGGTGCCTCAAAAGCCTGCAAATGACCTAGAGAGATTCATTACACTGTCATTGTTCTGAGACAAAACCTCTCTTTGACCAGGTTGAAAGATGGCGTGCTGACAACTCAGCCAAATAAATGAGGTACATAAAATGGCAAGATGGAGTTTGCAGTTTCTGTTGTGTGTGGAAGTAATAGCCTGTGGAAATAGCAGCCCGAAAAACATATGCTGCAGCAGCAGTCTGCTTGTCAGGTGCTTGTGTTTCATTCACAGCAGGTATTTCTAGAGGGAGCATGAATGGGAACCCTGTTTTTAGTTAACAGTTTTTTGGGGTTATTTGCTGTGGATTTCTTGTTCTTTCTGGTGGTAAAGCAAAGTCAATTTGTGCTTCAAACGTGCAATTGAAAATCCCTCTTCTAGCAAATTAGACCTGAGGTGCTCAGCGGCAGATGTTGTCTGTGGGAGGTGAATACCTTCTTTTCTCCTTTCTGCTCCAAATGGACCGTGAGAGACTGACAGCAGACCCAGCATTGGGCAGTGCTGTAACTGGCCGTAGCCTTGCATACTCTTGCCCTCCCCACAGCAGCACAGTAGCACAATTCAAGTTCCCAGTGCATCACCATGGGCTCTGGAGGAGCAAGCTTTGTCAGATGACCTGAAAGCTTTGTCTGTATCTTCTCTGATCACCCACATGCTTATCTGTGTGTGTGACCAAGCACAGCTGGCAGCTGCTCCCACTGTCTGCGTGTAGTGCTGTTGGTGGCATCCAGGCGATGTCTAGGAGAGTCCCTCTGTTGGAGGTGGCTTCCTGATCCTAGCTGTAAGACCACCTGAAGATTCGTGCCTCCAAGTTAATCACTGATTGTAAACACACTGAGCAGGACAGTGATGCAGTTCCAGAGCGGCCGATTCAATTCTTTCCTGTAATTTCTTCAGCATCGAGTCTGTCTTTGTGCTCAGCTCATGATTGGAATTCTTGACATCAACAGGTGTCAGATGAAGAAAGATTGATTGCATTTGTTGGGTATTGGATTGCAGTTAACTGTAATTGTCATATCCTGCCAGTCCTCTCCCCTTCGCTGTGGAGTTCTGTGGTGCGGGAGTCTCTATGGAAATGGGATTAGATGTGGCTGTCTGGCACCACTTTCTCTTGTAAGTGTGTGCAACTTTGAGTAAAGGCACTTAAATAAATTGCTGGAAGTGCTTGTTCAAAGCTACTGGCACAGATTAATTTCTCTACACAAACTCCAGGAGTTCTGTTTCTGTGCTGGTAAATTGGTTTTAACTGGCCGGGGAGAAGGAAGCAGTGGCAGTATAATTGTAGAATTCAGGCTAGAAGGAGCCTCAGGATGTCATCTAGCCTAGCCTGCTGCTGGAAGCAGGCTACGAATGTATTTACAAACTCCTTTTGCTTAACATCCTTTTCACTGTCTTTCTTCTACTTGCTTAATCTCCACGCAAACATGTATTTGGCAGTACCAGCCCCAGATGAGCGCACTAAGTGAGGTGAAGAATGGATGCATATAGGTGGTGACTGAATTACTTGCACAGAAACCTGTTGCAAAAAAAATCTTACTTTCAGCCAGCAGTCTCACCTGCCTGCTCAGAAGAGTCTCTCTTTATGAACTAGAAAATGTTTTCATGGTCTAAAGAGTGTGTCAAGATTAAGTATTTAAATTCTCCAGCTTCCAAGAAGAACGGTGCTGGCATACAACTGCTAAATACTGTTTGTCTTGTTACTGATGTGAAGTTGTTTGAAAAATCTGGTCTATAATCCAGGGGACAGTATCAAAGGTAGTAGGTAGATTGTCCTTAAGCTTTTTTTGACACAGGGGAAATGTCACCTTTGTCAGCACTTGGCAGTCTTCCATTTTAGCTCAAATACAATTTGAAGGTCAGTGCTCTAGGTATTTCAAAGATTCCTGTCTTCTTAATTATCACTCCTGTTGCTTTTTCTTTTGACCTCTTTCTCTACAGTGCTATGTTTATGATTCTTAAGGTAATTATCTAACTGTCTGGGTGCTTTTAGCACATGACAGGAGTATAGTTAATATAACTATTTTATGTAGATTTACCTAGAATTTAAATTACTTAGCAGATTGAGGGAAAACTAAAGTTTCTGAAGTGGCACAGAAGTCTGTGTAGCATATTTGTGTAGAGCCTTTAAAAGTCTGTGGTTCTCAGCTGCTCTGGCCATGTAACTCATGTAACTAAATGTAAGCTGACTTTTATGTATATAGAGAGGTAATTAATGGAATGCTTATAAAAGCAGGTTTCTCTATTGAGATAAAATACATGCTTTTTTATAGCTTCTATTTGTTTTACTCAAGAGCACTTACTGTAGTGATTAACTTCTACAAAATCAATTTATGTCTTACAGCTTGCCTTGAAGGGATCTAACTATGCTGGTCTGCTGGAGCGGCACCGCATTCATACAAAAAACGTGGAGCATGTTGTAGACAGTTTACGGTAAGAATGTATGGATGTTGAGAATTTCAGACACAGTGCAAATATCCATGGATTGTGTAAAACAACAAAAGGAAGCTTTGTGTTACAAGCTCTATTAAAATAGGAATACTGAAAACAGGATGATGCAGATAAACAGTCATTCCTGAAACAATCGTGAGGTGAACTAGCTCAGTTCAGTTAACTAACACATCTGCATTATTATCTTGAAAACAAATGAAAAGATGTAAAGGATTTGTGTGAGTGTCAAATGCTTATAAACCAAATACTATTGTAATTAGTCCTTAACTACATGTCAGTTTTTCAGAAGGATGTGACAAAGAACAGTATAGGACACATTCAGGCTTTTTCTACACTTTATAGGAACGAGAAGATAGAAGTTCGTCTTGTTAAACGTCGAGAATATAATGAAGAGACAGTTCGGTGGGCAGATGCTGTTGTATCAGCAGGAGGTACGACTTTACAGAAGGGAAGTACTTGTTTCAGTATGTTCTCGTAGATACATTTTTAAAAAATATTTTGCAATGTATGAAGCATCTGGAGATATGCACATTTTGAAAACAAATTGCTTATCTAATTGTCAGAAAATATGACAAAACGCAGTGATTGTGACCATCCTCTCTACCTCTGGTATCTAAAATTGTTGCACTAGGAAGTGAATCCCAGTGCATGGCCACTTTGGAAATGTTTGTCTTGTGTAAAACAGTATAAGCTGTGGAATTTACTATAGTTTTCAACTGAAGAGGATAAAATGCTTGCTGTCATGATTATACATAGCCCTAAACCCTCCTCTTTGGTTTTTGGTATGTGAAGTGGAGACTAAGATGCTACCTTTTCCTCCCCTTGGTCAAACTCTCTTTCTTGCTTTCACACTTATTTCCAGTGACTGGAGTATCTACTTGGGTGGTACAGGTAAAAGTATGCAACTTCTGAGCAGCCTGTGCCACTGATTAGAGCTTTTTAAATGAACCAACAGAGCAACTAACCTGGTTGTTTCTTTTTAACACTGGATCGCAGCAGTTCATTCAGTGTTATTTTTTGTGATTTGCTGCAAATACTGCAGTGTGTTGCTGGGCTCTGACATCATGTTCAATGATCTGTGGCAGCTCGACTTGACCACTGCTCTGCCTTTCTCTCCTCCCCACTGGTCCATTTTGCCCTTAGCTACTAGTTACCAGGCAGAATGGGTAGAAAGGGATATGTGTAGATTCCTGAAGCATCCTAATATACTCCTGTAGATTTCAAAGAACTCCTCCAAACTGGAGATTAAAGTGCCAGTTTGGCTGTAGCGGCATTTGTCATGGTTACGAGGCAAGCAGCTGGGAAGTGATACATGATCCGAACTTTTGAGAGCTTATCATTTTGGTGCAAAGACTGATTCAGGTTACAGTTGTCATTCTGTTTAACAGACAGGAAAGAATATCCATATCTGAAGAAACCATTGACACTTAAAGATTTCTGCTTCAGCAGTTTTATCTAAGACTTCTTTTCCAAGTGTGCCTATTTGGGGCTAAATAAGACCTTTAAATTGTGCCTTCTAGGAGAAAACTGAGATGGAACTGAAATCGTTGTTGTCATGTGATTCACAGTAAAATTTGGTATTGTTTCCTGTCTCTTGTGGCTTTGATTAGTGATACTTTCTAAATTTATTTTATTAAAGAACTACTCTTACCAGCTGATAAACGTACAGAAATTTTCATAAATCTCTTTTCAAACTTGCTTCTGCCAAATTCAGTTGTCTGGGCCTGTATAGCTGTCAGATAAGTCGTACTTTTTCCAGTCACATTTGCCATCTTGAATTCAGTTGTCACTACTCTGCGTTGAAAGGTGTCAGTAGTTTTGTGGTCCCATTTTATTTTTGTGCAGCTTACCTGATCAGTTGTCAATACAAAAGCATGTAGTGGTAATGCTGCAGTGCATGTGAGAATATTTTGTTTGGCATACTAGAATGTGAAGTGAAACTAACTTTTGTTTTGCTTTTTCTGTAGGTGATGGTACAATGTTGTTGGCAGCCAGTAAGGTCTTTGATAAATTTAAACCGGTTATTGGAGTAAATACTGATCCTGAAAGGTAAGAACACATTTGGGAAAGCAGTGCTTTATTTAATATGCGTCACAATATGCATCTGTTTTCATGATACATGGGGCATGGCTGTGGCATTTGGCAGCATAAATGTCTGTTTAGTGGATTGTAGATATTGAGTGAACCTGTTGTTTTATTAGAAAAGTTTACACAATGAGTTATCCTGTCTCATCTAAGAGGACATTAAGTAGTATTGGATAAGCATGACTGTGTTAAACTGCCACAGCTGTTTTCACACACCAGTGTAACAGCACTTGCAGCTAGTTAGCTTGTATTACTAACCAGAAGTTTGAGGCTAGAGATGGCAATGTAGAACAGAGACAGGAAAAGGGACTTAACAAAAGCAGCTAAGTGTGGTGCCTGAACACACAGAAACTTGGTTTCTTTGTGAAGAAGGCGAATCCTATTGGAAATCCAGTAGGGCCTCAGATGAAGAAGTTTGTTCTGGTTTCTTCATGTAAACCATGTCATACCTCGGAGGACACAGTCTCCTCAGCCAATTAATGGCATTTAGTTGTCCTATTATAAACTCCACACAAATTGCATCCACCTAGCCATAAGATTGATTTGGGCAGGTGGATGCAGTGTATTAGTACTGCCTGGTTGGTATAACCTTCAAACACATGGCAAATAAAACTCAGAGTTCACCAAGGTTCTGTCTGCCGAGGTATCCAGATTTAGGTTTCTGCTTTTGATGTTACCAGTTAATATAATCTTAGTAGATGAGAAAGTGGTGGCCAAAAGTTTTAATTCCTTCCATACCTTACTCCTCTTCCAAAACTTTTCAGATGCTGTGAATAGATATTCTACAGCATCAAGCCTGAATAACAGGGTTCAAATAACAAGTGCCTTCAAGTTATCAAATATCACTTATGAAAGGGGAGCAGTGCTTAGTCTTCTGGTTTTGACATGAGATTCTTTTGATCTCAGGCATGTTGCTTACCTGTTTCATATCACGAACTTGTGTGTAAATGGAAGAAATTTTCTTTGTAACCTGCAGGGTTTATTCAGCTTGAATTCCTGGCCTAGAACTATGCTGACAGTAACTATGTTAGTACCTAGACAGGATTATTAGCTGAACAGCCAGTTTTTAGGTGAAATGTGGGAGAAATATCCTATATCGCACACATACACCCCATTGCTGATGTGATATTATGTAGGTTCATAAAGGTCAAAGTGTAGCTTTGCTTTGTGTAACAGAAAGAGATGTTTGTTTTCTTTTCTTTTCTTTTTTAAAGGTACCAAATCTTAATAGTACCCTGTCATTTTCATTGTCCTTTTTTGCTACCAGATCGGAAGGTCACTTATGCTTGCCTGTGAGATACACGCACTCGTTCCCTGAAGCACTACAGAAGCTTTATCGTGGTGAGTTCAGGTAGGATTCACTGATCTTTGGTTTTCCAAAACATGTGATTGGAAAATACTTAATGATGTGCAATTCCTAAGGAGTAGACAATGCTTAGTAAAATCTTAATGTCTCAAATCATGGATCCTGTGTAGATGTTCACCATGTTGAAATATGGGTTTGTGGACAAGAGTGAGATTGGAATGCAAAGGATAAAATTGCCAGTTCCAGCAAAAAGACTTTTGTCATGGCCTTCAATAATTGCTTTTCTTTTCTGACTTAGCAAATTCATAAATGAGCAACTGCGTTCTTGTAAAGGGTGTATTGGTTTACATATTTTAACACTCGAAAGCATATGTAGTACTGTGATGGGCCATACTAATAGAAGCTAATGAAGCCTATACAGTTAGGAACTGGTCAGTGTGTTGCATCTGGGGTTTTGGTGATTAAGGTAAAGTGGCTTCAATTTTTGTAAACAGATTAGTGTAAGGCAAAGCTTTTCTTTATGCTGAAGATAGCTTGGTGTTTTCAGTACTGGCTATTCTTAAAATAGAAGAATCTCTCTTGAATTTAGAAGGAAGCAAGCTGAATTTTAAAGGACAGACTAGGGAAGAGTTTTTTAATAACTATTTAAAAAGAGACATTGTTCTGTGGTGTATTAACATTCCAGAATACTTCTACAATGGCAAACCATCAAACAGAAAGAAGTCATTCATGTGAAAATATATTGCAGTTGGGTTTAGTTTATACTTCTAGCATATTTAATTTGTAGCTTGAAGTCTAACTGTATTTGTGCCATAGAAAAGTCCTGAAATGAGGTGAATAGAGTCTTCAGGACTGATTATAAATAACTGAAGGGGTTTCAGTAGGTATTGCTAAATGAAAAGGTACTTTTAACTCACATGTTCTGAGAGTTCGAAAACAGAAGCTTTTAACTACCCATCATGCTAAGTTGCTTAGGTAGAGCTGGTAGTGCTAATACAGGGAGCATCCCTTGGTAACCTAGGCATTGCCAATGTTTTGCTGGATGCCATGTTATATTTTTGTTGCTGACACTCCTGTTGTTGCTCATTGTGGAGTTGAAGCCTCACCAGAGTAAAACAGAAAGGATCTCCCTGGTTGTTTTTCCAGAATAATAGGAATTGATATTCCTAAGCAAGGACCTGAGCGGGTGTTTCACTTGGCAGTTCTCAGATTTATTTGGCCCTAAGGAAACTTTAAAATAGGTGGGTAACTGGATCAGCCTGTCTGGAACAGCTTCTCGTGGCTCAGATTTGCCTAAGTGTGGCGAGGTGCCAGAGACTGGAAAAGGGGGTTTGTCTTTTCCCCTTATTCTTGAAGTATGTGTCAGTGCAACAATCTGTGTAAGCACTTACCTTGTAGTCCTGTGAAACAACCAAGATTATTGATTTATAAAGGACAAACTATAGCAGGCTACCCATGTTTCTTTTTTTAATGGTCAGTGGTGTAACAGGATCTCAGAACAGGGGTATAATAGGGGTACAGTCCCATTTTCTAACGTTGTAGGGCTTTTGACATGTCCTAGCAGGAGTATTGTAAGGAGGCTAACATAATGATACTCATTGTGTGCTGTCTGTCTGACTACCTAAAACCATACTTGGAATTTAAGGGCAAGTAGGTAGTTATACTAAGGATGTGTTGAATGAGGCTGTACAAGGATGACAAGGAGGAAAAACTAGTAGTCATATAAAGTGTAAGTCTTCCTTGCTGTAATATCAGGAACCGTGTAAGCTGGTTGCTGTCACCCAGATATCAACAGTATGAACTGGAAAAGATGTGCTCATAACACTCCCTTGTGATTTGGTTTCTCAGTCAAAACTGCTATTACTGTTTTGTTTTATGCAATCTCTAAATTGTACGAGGAAAAAGGAATTGATACCTCTTCTAGGAAAAAAATCTGAATGCTGTAACAGCTTAAGGAAGAATGACTTTTACATCCTTCTCTTTCTTCATTTGAATTCCTCTTAAGCATCCTAAACTTCCTAGCCGAGGAGAGATTCTTAAAATGAGAGGATACTTGTGGCCCTTTTGTATAAAGGGGTGGGTAGAGCTGCTTTTCTGAACATCTACAAATACAAACAAAAGATGGTAAAAATACAGCATGTATTGCTGTATAAATTCCTGAGAGCTTGTTCTCAAAATTATAGCATCAGTCATGAATTCGCAATTTAGGATCTCATGCCTAAAAAGATGAGTTATCTATACTGTTTGTAGACTACTTCTGGCCAGTGTCCTCTTAGTTTACACATTCAAAAAACATCAGGTAGCAAATTGGTAAGTGTATTTATAATTTAATATGATTAACTTTCTAAAGTTTGAAATGATTGTGGAAGTGTGAAATGTGACTTTGAATATATCTAACTTTTAATCTTAAGATGCTCTGCTTTGAGAGTGAAGACACTCTGATCCTATCTAATTCTGTAATGAATATTTCAGCTACTGATACCAACTTCTTTCTTCTCTCTAAGGTGGCAGTGGCGGCAAAGAATCCGACTGTATCTTGAAGGAACTGGTATTAACCCAACCCCTGTAGATTTACATGAACAGCAGCTAAGCCAAGAGCAACACAGCAGGGCTCACATAAGTGAAAGATTCCAGGATCAAAGTAGGTTAAAATCTGACAAGAATATAATCACTTTGCTATGATAACTCGGAATAGGAAATAAAGATTTGTAAGAATTGAAGTCTTTGAAGTCTGGTTGTTGTATTTGAGAGGCAGGGAGAGACAGCTTTTATTAGCTGAAGACCCAGATTAAGGTTTTTTAGAAAAGAGTATTTTTTGTTTCTCTATGTTTATTCTGGACTGTACGCTTAGAACCAGTTTTTAGTATTAACAGTTAGTTTAGAGATGTTTTTAAATAGTATTATCTGCTGGCAAAATACCTGAACTTTTTTAAAATGCTGTCTCTTAGGGTTACTGTAGGTTGGGGGTTACCACATGAACATTTTGCCATGCGTTCAGCTATTCCACACTAAAAGCGTGTGTGCGTGTCTGCGCACTCTTAACTTCTGCTAAATTTGAGGTAGGTTACTTCACAATTGAAAAAGCTGGTCACAGACTGCCAGCCATCAAATGAAAAATTAGAAGTGAGAATCTCTCCCTCAGTAATTCTTCCGTCATCAGACACCTTTGACTGTTTTCTTTATGATGGATTGAGGATGCATGATTCTATCCTTAACCTGTGTCTAGCACTGCATTTCCTCACTGAGCCATCCTTAGTCAACAGGAACAATTTGTTAATCCCCCTTCATTACCCTGTGGTATAAAGTCTAATTCTTTGAACTTGATCAGAAATGTCTGTTAAGTCACTGTCAGTGAATTTAACTAGGGTGGAAGAGTGACTGACAGAAGAGAAGACTTCAATCTGCCTGGTTGCCCGTGAGTTTTCAGGGAAAGCAATGTCTGAACGTAAGTGTCATTGCCTTATTGACCTTGGTTCAAATATTTGTAGTCTCCAGTAAAGAACAGTGACTGGCTACAGACTGAATCAGTGAAAAAATTGAGTCCTTGAAGAAAAGGGAGCACTAGGTCTAGAATACAAACCCAGGCAGCAGAGTGTGTCCTTCAACGAGTTGTGGATTGTTTTTGAAAATTTGGGATTTAGAACCATTATTCAAAACTTGTTATATTCAATATCTGCAGGATCTGACATTTCTGGTCCACATCTTTTACCAGTGAGAGCACTCAATGAAGTCTTCATTGGGGAATCTCTTTCATCCAGGTATGTTTAATTATTTGTTGTTGCAGCAAGGCACAATTGACTTCATTTCTTTTTATGACATTGCAATGGACAATCAGTGATGGGATGTCTTTGCTGTCAGTTTTAGTTCTAGTGCATGATTATATAACACTGATTGTATTGTTGCTGATTACAAAGTGTATTTTCAGAGATGTAAGTGTAGTGATGTTAATTTCTGGTTTTCCACCTTCCTGTCTGGCCATTCTTTCATCTTTCATTATTCCTGCCGGTTTTCTTTCCTCTTCATTGTTTTTGTCTTTTCGTGGTTAGTTCTTATGTAACCAAATGCCTTCAGTTCCTAACGTTATAGCGGATTGCAGATTTAAATGTCTGTCATTAAACTTCCTCGTCTCTTGCATCTCTTCTGAAGTATCTTTTCATAAGCTTTTAGCATGAGCAAGCAGAAATAGCTTTTAGCATGACCAAGTACTTGTTTCCCTGCGTCTCTGTCATTAGATGCAAAGGTATCAGCCTGCCTTTAGCAGAAGCTTTGTTATTGTGGGAAAACACTTATCTCCTTGTTCTAAGAAATGAGTTTGTATCAAATCCTGGTACTGCATTATCCAGGATACACTTAACTGGCCTTTCTGTCCTGAAGATCAATGCATTTCTGCCAGCCAAACAGTAACAAGAAGGATGTGGGGAATGTGACTGGGGCTGTGGGAAAGGAGTTAAAACCTGATCCTTGGTCAGGATTTGGCCAAACTTTTACTTGTATTTTATATCCCTTTTCCCTTTATTCTGTATCTTTTTTTTTTTTTTTTTTTTAAACTTTAGAGTGTAACATCTTCTTGTGTTTGTACAGTGCCTGGGACACTGTGGTTGCTGCTGGAAACAGTATAAATGTTCCATGAGTGCTTTATCTTCCATCTGGACTGCAGCCTCAGACTGGCAGAAGGAATTAGTCTCAAAGAGATAAAAATTTTGCTCTCTACTAAATCAAACCTAATTTTTTCAAGATTCTAAAAAGTTTCTTTAACATACAGTGATAGAGGAACACAAAGCTGCTTTCCAACACTTTATAATAGCTCTCTACTTCTGAGTGTCACAAATACAGTGTGATCTTTGGTTCCAGTATATTTGAGAAGCATTGAGGAACACAATGCCTGTAGGAACAAATCTCTAGTAATAAATATTGTGTTAATAGGACCTTACACTTGAAGACTTAAATAATGATGTCACACAGATGAATCTTCTGTAAGGTTCAAATACACAATTCTGCTGTATATTAACATAAAATGACTCTAAGTGCTTCTTCCAAGGTATTATTCTGCATGTCAGTTAAGAAAACAAGGAAGTTGAAGGAAAAAAACCCCACCTTTCATACCCAGCTTGCAAAAATTACTTAAACTGAATCAAGCTGTGCACCTGTGTTCTTAATTTGCTTGAAGTTCTTTCATCTTCCCATCTTCTCAAGAGTGAGTACACAAAATGCCCTCAGTTACTAAGAGTCTAAACTGTTTGACACCAAATACTCAAGAGGTATTTTCCTAGTTGATCCAGACTTAAACATTCATCACCTAAACCAGCTCAGCTGCTTTTACTAAGAAAGGTGAAACTCAGTCATGTTGAACACAGTGAATGTGGTGTTTTTCTAAGAGGGTATCTATTAGTCTGAAGACTCTGTCCTATACTGCTTGAATTAGGCACAATGAACATCAACAACTTTAGTTCATAAATATTCCCCTGGATGTTCTGAAGCTTACAGAGTGAGACTGTCCAGTCTCGCTAGGCCTAACATTAGGAATCCCCTGATATATGAATAATACCATGCAGAATGATGATTGTGCCCCAAGACTTACTACATTGGAGTTCTAGGAAGAATTTGCCCTGGAGAGAAAAGTAAGCCTGCTGACTGTTGTAAACTAAAACTGTTCATGAAGAATCACAGTGGATTTTTAATTACTGAAGTGATCAAGAATTCAGCTTGAAGCCATGCTATTACTTACTGACGTTGGAGTGCCTTACCTCTTAGTATTCCCTGATGTAATTTTATGAGACCCAATTACAGCATAAACACAGTTTTTCGGTAGTTCAACAATTATGCAAGTAAGGTAATGTATTTGTAGTTTCATTTTTAAGTCCAGCAAACCCTGCCTGTATACAAAGCTATTCCCAGGTGAATTGTGCATAATTTAATAAGAAAAGTGGCTGCAGAAAAACTGCCTAAAAGTTCATGCTGCAAATCTCTTTTGTCCTTTATAAAACCTGCTATGAAACAGTGAATCAAAAGCGGCTGCCAAATCGGAAACACTGTGCAAAGCCTGTGAAATTGTCATCCAGATTTGAAACTAGCCCCTCTAAATTTTTATGTGCCTGATAAGGCTGTGTGTTCTGTCTTATTCAGGGAGAACTTTAAGTCCTGCAAACCCAGTTTTAAATTCTCGCTTCATAGGGCCTCCTATTATGAGATATCAGTTGATGATGGTCCTTGGGAAAAACAGAAGAGTTCAGGGCTTAATGTGTGTACTGGAACAGGATCAAAAGCATGGTAAGTACATGTTCCTGCTTTGATATAAAATATCACTTCAGATAAGCTAGATAGACCTATTTTGCTTAAGCATCTTGTCCATACTGAGACTCTCTTGTGCCATGGGTAAGTCAATGCATGTCAGTTATGTCCAAATACTCTCGCTGTCGGTATGGTTCAAAGCTCTCTCAGGTGTGTGAGAAGAGCAGAGCACCCCTCACTTGTAGGTATGGAGAGAGGAGTTGAAAGGGTGAGGAGCTGAGGCGTTGAGACAGAAGTTTACCTTAGGTGTGATTTTGGTGATGCATGCTGCACATGGAGATGAATGGTTGGGGGTGGTGAGGGAACAAGATTCTGCTCGGACTTGCAGAGCGTATTGGGAGGATCTCTGAACTACTCTTGCGGGCTAAAATTAAAATGCTTACATGAAGTAGCTGAGAAAACTTATAAAAATCTAAGCTCTAAGAAGAATGGGAAAACATGTACTTGGAAACAGTGTTGTGTTCTCTGGCTCATCTACTGTCCATTCTCCTTCCAAGCCTCTTGCCTCTTTCAGACTTAATTGAAAGGGCACCAGTCTCTTTGCCAAAATATTCCCATTAAACAAAGATGGGCATATCTAAGCAGAGCTGTGCTAGCTTAATCAAAGGGGTAAATTATCTTAAATTCAGTTTAAACAAGCTGCAGTACTGCATGTAAGTCTAATCAATTTAGTTCTGAGATGTGAAAGATGTGTACAGTGAGAGCCTCTTTCATTTGGAAATCTGGCTATGCTTATAGTTTCAAGTTGTACAACAGGCCCAGGATTTACGTGGCAGGCTAAGATGAACTAAAACTGAAGCTTTTAATGAAATTCAGAAATGAATATTCATGCTGTAACCATGGTTACTGGGTTTTACTCTTCATTGTAATTCAGAATTTTGTATTCAGTCAGCATAACTTAGTCCTGGAGGCTGCCAAGGATGAAATTGGCAGACTGCTAGGGGAACTTTCCTAGTGTTCAGTACCTTGGGAATGTACAGTCTTAGTTCAAAGCTATTCTTACGCATTTCATTTGCTTATACACTCTGTACTGAGCAATCTCAGAACCAGGGACCGAACTCCAGGATTTCCCATCTCCATTGCTGTAATCAGTGTGTACTGCTGGACTTCTCTAAACTGAGGGCAAGCCTCAGTGGAGTGATCTTTCTTAGCCTGTGGTTTAGGGGCTTTCCTGGGATTTCAGACCTCCTGGGACTGAGAGGCATTTAAATGTTCAAGTGCCTCCTTCAGCTGCCAAAACTTGCATAAAAGGCTATCTATTTGAGAGAGAGAACAATTTCAAACTGCATCTCAGTTTCTTGCTAGCATCTGCTCAGGCTTGCAGGTGAGCAGTAAGTGTAAGACAAAGAGCCTTGGACAACCACCCTCAGCAGCTCTGTAGTCTGTTAGATGTACAGCGGATGTCTGTTGCAGTCTGAGGTGTTTTACTGCCATGGCAGAAGTGCCGGACTGAGGCTTTTAAAGCTGTATTGAGACCTGGGCAACTGAGATGTTCGTGGTACTGCTGCACAGAAACTGTGATTAGTACCTAATGCCTTTTGAGCCTGGGCACAGGAGGGAGACTTTTTTTGGAGTTTAGACTTGGTTCACACTGAGGCTTTATGCTGACTTCTTGTGCATCCAAGTGTGGCAAATGCAAAAGTGTCTGATCTGACTGTTTCTTTTCTATATACACCGATTCTTGTGAGATTCAAGCCCACACCTTAGGGTACAGACAAAGTGGCATAATATTTGTAAAAAAGTGTCGGGTCCCATCAATGAGAACTAACAGAAGGAGTTAATTAGCAAGAGGTGTCTAGAAGGCATAAGAACACAATCTGTAGAAATGTCATGCTTCAGTTTTTTTAATGCAGGCTTAAATCAGCAGTTATTGGTGTTTTAAGGCAGGAGGATTATTGATAAGGAGACTACATGCTCTTCTTTCCTGAAGACTTCACTTAATGGATTATTAAGGTTTGCAAAGCCACAGGTAGATGTCAAACCAAGAGTTAATTTAAGGCATTATTTTGAAGAAACTGATGTCATGTCACACTTAATAGCATTCTTTATTTTTTTTCTTCCTGATGTTAAACATAGTTCTTCATCTGTATGCAAGATTTTTTGTTTTGTTTTGCTACCAACTTGTATTGATTAGCAAATGAGACTTCTACTTCTCTGTCTAGGTCCTATAATATTAACAAGGTAGCACATCAAGCTGTTGAAGAGATCCTTAAGATCGGTGAGTGAACAGTGTGGCATTACTGGCCAAGTTTATAGAAAGATACACCTATCTAATTGGGGCTCTTTCTCTTGGCTCAACAGCTAAAAAGCATGGAAGTTTGACTATGCCATTGAACACGGAACTAGTACAAAAAGGTTAGTGAAAAAAGCAAGATTTCTTTAAGGTATCTTAACTTTGACAGTTCATTTTGTTTGTACTCATACTCAGCACTGCTTTTGGTATTTTAGCACTCTTGCAATATTAGTCTTTCTTACAAACATTATTTAGGCACTTTTGGTGAAAAATGTCTGACCTGATATGAAGGTACTTACTTAGACTTTAGTATGTATAGATCTACAGGAGAGTTTCAGTTCTAAGATTGGATGACACTTAATCACCTGAAGAGAGCTGTTGAGTATTCGTCATGCAATAGAACTGAAGGGAATCTTCTGTAAAATTTTTTTTTTTTTTGCAGGTGAAGGCTATTAAACATCTGGGAAGACTCAATATTCCCTCTTGGTAGGGAAGCTGCTCTTTCCTGGAGGCATGCGTGTTTCTGAGAATAACTAATTTTCTCTGGAAAAACTAATGGCTGATTTCTCTATTTACAGTAACAAATGATTACAATGAGTCCCTGCTCTACAGTCCAGAAGAACCAAAGATGTTTTTCAGTATTCGAGAACCTATTGTAAACAGAGTTTTCTCAAGTAGCAGGCAGCGTGGCTTCTCTTCAAAGTAAGTGTTGGCTGTAGCAGTCACTGAAGAGTTATTTAATTCTGTGTATTTGTCAAAGTAATAGTAATCCAGGAGTTTCCCTTGAAGTGTTTCAACATCCAGTTTGTGTTTTGAGGGGCTCAAGTATTATTCTCGTAACAACAGGAAGAAAAAGTTTCCAAGTTGTGTTATGCCTTTTAAATGTTTGATCCATGCATAATCTTACAGAATAAAAGAATCTCACTGTGCCCAGTTTTGGGTGTGTGCCATTTCCCTCAGTATGAGACACAGGCATTGACAAACTGGAGTGAATTCAGGAAAGGGCCACTGAGATGATTAGGGGGCCAAAAAACATGGTGTATAAAGGAGAGGCTCAAATGGTGCTTTTGTTTAGCCTGGAGGAGACAAGACTAAGCAGGGTGGATCCAGTTAACTCAGGAGACTGAGTTAAAGTCTTTTCAGAGCAGAGGCAACAGCCATGATGTTTATAGGATGTAAGATTCTGATGAAAAAAGGGAATTTTTTTTCACAACAGAAATGGTCAGGCAGTGGAACAGGTTGCCCAGAGACTGCTATCACTGTCCTTGGAGGTACTCAAAACTTGTCTGGGCAAGGCCCTAAGCAACCTAATCTGTCTTTGAAGTAAGGCCTGCTTTGAGTGGAAGGTTGGACTAGGTGCCCTTCCAAACTAAATTATTTGGTAATTCAGTCATTTTTACTTAGGGCACTCGCTCCAGGGGAGGTTTAGATTAGGTATTAGGAAAAATTTCTTCACCGAAAGGGTTGTCAGGCATTGGAACAGGCTGCCCAGGGAAGTGGTTGAGTCACCATCCCTGGAGGTATTTAAAAGATGTGTAGACATGGTGCTTAGTGGCGTGGTTTAGTGGTGGACTTGGCAGTGTTAGGTTAGCGGTTGGACTTGATGATCTTAAAGGTCTTTTGCAACCTCAATGATTCTACGATTTTGTGATTTTTCTGGAGCTTGCCACAATTAAATATAAACACATGCTACTGTTAGTTATATGTTCAGAATAGCTATGCTGAGAACAATACAGTATCTCAGTATTAATTAAATGTTAATTCAACCTTTTATATCAAAACAAATGTCTAAAGGAGCTCTGACTCAAAGGAGACCCAAGTTCTGCTCCTTTTGAGTCACATCAGTGTTACAACATTTTATGACCTAGTAATAAAGGACATCTCTGGCTACTGGGACTAAATATTACATATTTGATGCCCACTGTGGATGTGTCATGTCTTTAAATGTTTACTGCTTCATAGTCATTTGAATGTGGGAGTTCTTGAGTAAATCTTAAGAGATAGTAATGAGGAGAGGTTAAAATAGGACCAAATAACTGCATTTTCATCGATGGATTCTACAGGACTAAGTCTTGTCTTATTTGGAGTCCTCAGCATGAGATATACTATAAAAACTATACTGGAACTACAAACATCTGCATACTTATGAGGGATATCTGCCCATTTTTCCTCTTTTAGGTAGAATTTGCTGCCTGTCACAGTTGATCTTTAGCTCTTGATACTAGACACCTCCCCATTGCTGTTCTGTATCTGACATAGTAGCTACCCAGAATGAAATGGAGGAGTAGAACATGCCTCCACATTCTTCTGCAGTGTCCAGACTTGGCTGTGTTTCAGTCATGCACAGGCCAATTAAGCTTTGACACTGGGCTGTGCTTCCAAGCTTTTCATATTTGTGAAAGATGTGTCTTCCTGAAAATGTAAGTCACTAGATAATTGTTGATTAAATTTTGGAGATCAAAATATTGTCTAGATCAAGCCTAAGTCAGAAGCAATCAAGCATATCCATATGAGACTGCAGTCTTGCAGCTGCTTTGGCGTAACTATTGGTTCCCATCTAGCAATATGAAAAAAGTTTGAAGAACTATTTAATAGTGTTCTCACTTTCTACATATGTGAAAGGACGAATTCAAATGGTTGAGTCAATTTTCCTTTTAAAGGTAAGCGAAGAGAAAGATGGTTAGTAGCTCTATTCTGTCTTGTCCAGCTCTAGAAGACCCACCTTAAATTTTATAAGCTTAAATTTATATTTATTAGCTTAAAGATATAGTAGTCAAACTCTAATATTGACAGTAATATGCTGCAATATCCATTTGTGATGTTGCCTGACAAGCATTCTGATCTTCAACTTTGTTTGAAATGACATTCCCTTCTCTCTGTGAATGACTCATGTAACAAAATAGAATGTATTAATATCTAAATTATTTGAATCTTAAGCATTAATAGTTGAAACTGCATGTTCTACTTAACATGAAGACCATACATTAGAATTATAAGTTAATTGAAAATGTTTCTGTGAAAGATTAAGTAAATCACTATTAAATGGGATCATCAGTAGCTTTCTTTGAAAAATACACCTAAACTGCAGCTTTTGGTATCAAGTGTTATGTTATAGGCCGTTCTCAGACTCTTGGAACAATAGTGTCCAATTTGAACAAGTCCTTAAGTCTTCTCTGGACTCACTGCTAAGTCTATACAAAGTACTGATAGGTTGGGGGATTCTAGTGCTTAGTAGTACACTAAATTCTTCTCTAAGAAGAAACATTAAGCATTTACTGACTCACACAAAGGAGTGTCCAAGAACCAGTCTTACTGTTCAGATAAATGAAATACTTAACTTTTTTAAGCTATTTAATGAAAACTTATTTTTTGGGTTTTTGCAGAGTCTGTGTCCGTTCCCGTTGTTGGGATGCATGTATGGTTGTGGATGGAGGAACATCTTTTGAGTTCAATGATGGGGCGATAGCTTCAATAATGATCGATACAGAGGATGCACTGTGCACTGTTCTGCTGGAAGAATGAAGGACCCTAGCATCTTCTGCTGAAACAATTCTGGATCCAGAGAGGGAACTCCTGGAGATAGACAGCACATCACAATGCTGCATTATGTTGGAAGTTGGCCTTTTTGTATGCAAAAGCATTCGGAAGAAGCTTGAGATGCTTTTCATTCCTTTGGGTTGGGGAAACCTTAGCCTGATATTTAAGCTCTTTTTGTGTCTGCTGTAAAAGAAATGTATCTGAAGTCTTACCTCTAACTTCAGTGAAAATTGACATTTTAACCTGTAAGGCAAGCATGGAAGAACAGGTGTTAAGTCAGTAGCATTAAATATTCAGATGTACAGTTTTTTTAGTAACAGTCTGGGACTGATGAAACTAAACACCTTCATACATACACTTTTGTAGAAAAGTTGACTGTCAATCTAGCAATTTGATGAAAGGATATATAGATTTTCATAAATCCTGATGTTGACGTAATAGAAATGGAAATACAAACCTTTTGTATGCTTTTCAAAAATTTTACAACTTTGTAGTTTCATACAACTTGTGACAATTTTTTTTTTTTCTCTTCCAGTATTTTTTCTACTTTGTAGATTTACATCAGAAGTAAAAGTCTGGTTTAATCACATCTTGAATGAGGTAGCTCTTACCTTTTCTCTTTGGCTAGAGAGGGACTTGAAACCCAAGGGTTTTCTTGAGCCCTTTAATTGGACTATACAACCTATAGAAAACATGCTGAAGTATGATATACTTCTTCACTGGATGGATTAGCTGGCTAGCAGGTGTTCAGTCGCAGTAGTGCACGTAGGTGGCTATCATTAAGAAAGGTATTTGCCCTTATTAAGTTGAATGGTTTGGAATTTTATGTTCTGAATTTCTTTATAATTGAAGAAGAATGAGATGTGCTGGGTGCTAGTACTTAGAGCACAAGTTAATACCTCTATCTCTCGCAATTTTCCAAGTATGTGTTTTTAACTTCCCCAGCAATCTTGAAGTCCTATGCTGAATTCTACTGATATTTAATTGGCAACAAATTAATTTTAATTTTACATGCCTCTGATCATGTGTTCAGTAAGCAAGTCAATAATAGGAAAAAAGCTCTGATTATAGAAGAGGAAGTTACTTTTTAGATAATGTTTTAGATAAACTGTGAACTATGACTGCCCTTGAAAGTCTCTGCTGATAATTGCATAGATGGGAGGGCAGAATTTGGCAAAATGAAGATTGCTACAACAGGAACTTTTCTGCTACATGACTTGAAACAAATGGGTTTTGTCCTGTCTACTACAGATCTATTTCCAAAAGTGAGTTTTCTTCAAACTACTTTTGAATGAAGAGACTTCTGAAACAGATGTTCTCAGGTCTAATGGAAATGTTCTCCAGTGTGGCCAATCAGTGTATTTATTGCCAACCACAGAATGTAAACTGATCTTTATAGGTGGAGGAAGTGGATAAAGGATTTTTTCCTTCTACTACTTAAGTGTTTGTATTCACTCTAAACCAGAATTTAGAAGAAATTTATTTGACCAGACCGTTCAGTTCTAGGAAAATGTGATACTGATGGAGCTTTTTGAATAAGCTAGCACTGTTTGTGTAGATTTCACCTTTTAAGTGTGCTGCAGATTGAGTTATTTACACTATCTGCTTGAGTTATCATGATTATAGACCAGGAGGGGAAAATGAAAGTAGCCAAATACTCTTTCAAAACTTGTTAAGTTCAGGAACTATCAGAATAAAGCTCTTAATGTCTAAAATAATCTGCAAAAGTGGTCTAAAGGTAAGGATGCAAAAGACTAATCTTTCTTGAGAAAGTTGGCCGCACAGAGACTAGGGTGTTTTAGTTATTCCTAATCCATATGTAACCAGCTAAGGATGGTTTGTGTGCCTCTGTCTAGTACACTAGTCAATATGCTGTTAAGATTCAAAAAAACCCAAACAACCCACCAACACCATTAACACTAATTTATGACTTCCTAGGACTTTGCTACTGTATTAGATGAGAGGTTTAGGTATTGAAAGGGTCCTTGAATACCTGCATAGACAAATTTACAGCAGAAGCCCTGTCCCTGACTTACTTAGAGACATTTGTGTGCTGCAATGTTTTAATGGAGACTGATTAGTCTGATCAGGGTGCATACCTCTTAAAGATGCCTGTCATTCCTTATTATGAATGCTGAGACTAAAAGGCAATGTTTTCAGGCCCTGCAGACCCAAAGTACAATCTGGTTTAGGGCTTATTAAGAGATTTCACAGTCAAATTCCTAACTTAGCAAACTAGAAACCTGACCTACTCATGAGTGGCCTCTACTGGTTTTGTCTATATTTAATTGCACTTCTATTGAAGCATTTACTGGTGAATGCTTGATTTAAATAACTAGGATGAATCAGAGATCTATAATAGATAAACAGTAAGCAAAGAATTATAGAATCCTTTTTAAGGATCCTTTATCACAAAGGATTGCCATACAGACAACTTACCTGGTAGACAGTATTTTGTGACAGGACTGAGTATTGGTTTAACACTGATTTCATCTGCCTGGACTGGCAGTGAACTCTGCACCTCTTCCACCTGCTGAATCAAATCCATGGTCTTTTCACTGAGGCCAGTCCACACTGTGTTCTGCTAAACTACACCTGTCATTCTTTTTTTTTTTTTCTTTTTTTCCAAAGTGGTGTTTATACATTATGTAATAAAAATAAAAAAACTTAACAGATAGTTTCAGCTGTCCTGTGCCTTATTTCAACTTTCTAAATTGTTTCACGTGCTCAGCTTCTTCTCACTTACTGTGCAGTTTTTTTTAAATAATGGTTTCTAAGCCTTCATGCTTTAGGCAAAATGCAGAGACTTACCTATGTAGCTGGTTTTGGTATGGATTGCTTGGAGCTACCAAGTAACTTTTTTTACTTAGGAAGAGGTCAGTGGTGCGTCCAGTACAGCTGCCATCATAACCAACAGACAGAAACGTTTGACCTCTTCCAACACTGAACCTGGTACTTAAACCAAGTTCAGGACTATAACTTCTAGCTAAAGCCATGCTACTGTCTCAATTCTGTACAGGGTTTTAAAGCACAGTCTATTAAATGCTAAATGTATTGGTGATAACACCCTGTCCACTAAACCACCATTATTCAGACATTGCTTGGACAAATGTCATTTTTTCACCCATAACACAAAGCTGGTGGCAGGTCAGGGAAAGTGTTGTCCCATCCATCAGTCATTTTGTACAATATAGCAATTCCTTAGATCTTTACTAAATGCAAGAGAAGTTGTATGGAGTTATATTTTGCATAGGAAGAAGCAGCATTTACAGTAGTGCTGTGCTGCAAAGACTTACTTTTTTTCTTCAGGTAATTTAAGGCATAAACCTAAGGCTGCAAACTGCAAAGCAGTAGAATATCCAGTATCCTCCAACCTCCCATCACTTCTCCACTCCAACTTTCACAAGGTATGTTGCCCATTAACTCTTTGAAGGGGCACAAGCCCATTAGTGACTCAAGTGTTACTTACACTTGGTTAAATTTAATAAAAGACAATATACAACAGATTAACAAGACAATGCTGTATTTATTATACTATAGAAACTCAAGTTAAATATCAAATTGTAGTACTCCTACAATCTTTCCACAGTATTTAATCTGTTCTGTACTACCAGGTACTTATTCCTGAACTCTTCTTCAGATTGAGATGGGGAACACAGTACCTATACAACAGCCCTACAGCAATGCTGTAGGCTAACCTCAAACATCCATGGGTAACCACCTGCTTGCTTACTGCATTCATGGGAACAACAGCAGCATATTCATGCCCTACACAGGGTGCAAGTTCTACCCCTAGTACTTCTCAACTAACTTATACCTGCAGCAGCTTTCCAGGCTTATGCATGAGGACCCTGATGATAAAGCTAGATCAAAGTTTTACTTAAAGTCACTACTTGTCCCTATCCTTAGTTTGGTTTTGGTTTTGACAGTGACTCAGCTTTTCATATATCTTTAAAAAAACCAACACTAGACAGTAGTGGTTAGTGTTACAGGTACAAGAAGTGAAATGATACTACAAACATAAGCTGTTATAAAGGAGAAACTGATGTATTTAAACTGCACCAAAGCATCTCATCTATCAGCACTTTTATGCTGCAGTCACAGGTTTTGGTTTTGGTCTGAGAACTAGAACCATTTGCACCCTCCTCCTGTAAGATTTCTGTCAATTTATCAGTTGCAGTTGAAATATCTTCTCTTTAAAGGAAGTAAGAGAACATTTTAAAGAAGTTTTATCTGAGATCAACCTCACAGAAGCTACATTAAGGTTCTGTAATACTTGGAAAACTTCACACCACAATATGAAGCAATGATAACCAGCATCTACTTTTACAGATTCTGAATGGGCTTTTCAGACTATATTTGGCTAACAATGAAGAATGCTAAAACCAAGATGCTACCTTTGTGGCCTACTAAAGAGCAACTTAACTGTAGCTGCTTTATACTGCTTAAACAGTACTGAGGTGTCCTTTAGCTGCTTTTGTGTAGACATCTCTTCCCCTATCCACTGTTTTCAGGTTTGATGAATTCAGACTCGGTTCTCTGTCGCTCTCACAAACAATGGGTAGCTTCTCATCTTGCTATACATCTTGTTTGATTAAGGATTTGAATAGGTTTAATTTGCAAACTCAGACAAAGACAATTCCTTAATACGCCTTATTAAGATACCTAGCACCTCTACAAGCCATCTCAGGAGTTGTAGAGCTGGAAGAGCTAACCAAAAGCACTTTTATAACACCTTAGAGCAACAAAAGCTCCATCAGAACCTGCAACAGGTGCTAGAGGCTGATACTGTTTAATTACAATGATAGTATTTAAAAAAAACCCAAACTCCTCTGTTAAAAAAAAAAAAAAGAGGACTTAAAAATTCTACAATTGCTCACAGGTCATGAGATTTCTAAAAGCTTTAAGTGAAAAACTGTAAAAATATTTATGAAACTACATTAAGGCGTAAGACCAAGTTAGAATGCTTTTTACAATAACAGTACTATGATTAAAGGCGCTCCAGCACTCTGCTGCTTAAGGAGCTTCACTACACACAGTGTGTCCATCGCATCCAGTGCATTGTAAATGATCATAAGCCATTAGGATTTCTCAGTGTCAATCTGCATTTGATGCCCCAAATCTCATGGTTCTTTTTACTGCCAACAGTTGGCCTTGCGATACTTGTAAAGTGTGAACAATTGATCTTCATGTTAGGAAGCGTTTCCCTGAGGAGCTGTAGGGAACGATGAGTCACTATTCCAAATACCTGAAGAGTCTTTAATGTTGGAATTTCACCAAGTTCTCTAGAAAGAGCAAAATAAGAAATTAATCATGAACCTGAAAGCTTTTCTTTGCAGTCTGTACCCAAATTAGATAACTGCATTTCTACTAATTTTTTAGAAGTAAAGTAACTACTTAAACTAAATTCCACTTCCTACTTTTTAAAAGCACATATTTAATTGAAATGAGTTCTCTGTACTGGTAATTCAGGAAACTGTCTGAATAAATTGCTTCTTGCTATTCTCTCACACACAGAGTGAAAACAAACTGGTTCCTCCCCTTTTATTTCCCTGGACTTAAGTATTTAGAACAAGTGGAAGGAATTGCCCCAGATGAAATTTCAGGATGTGGCCCAGAGGACACAAGCCCCTAGGTACTATCAGTCTCCAATTTGTTATGACATTTTGGTGAGTAGCCAGCCCTGGCTTCTTGATTGCTTCACTTTTGCCCAGTCATGATGTGAACTGTCTGTCCATAAGCAAGTATTAGGCAAAATCCAAAGGCAGAGACACACAAGCTATCATCATGACAGCACACACTGCTACAAAAAAGATTCTTCAGATTCCCATTTTGATAGTCCTATTCCTCTCACAACCTTTTTCTTACTGTTGATCATTTCCTTAGGACTGACATCCTTCCCGAGGGGATTAAGATGGATAGCTGCTATACTAATAAAAAGCAGAATAACCCCACATACAAGTAACTCTAAGCTGTGTTTCAGTGGCAACCAATAATTGATACACATGCACACAAAAGCAAAGGAATATAAACAGATTAGCTAGTCAGCAAGTACTGTCAACTCCGTTAACTTTTCCAAAGGACTATACCTTCCTTGCTGCATAACTGAAAGCCTAATATTGACACCAATACTTGTCACTGGCAGAACTGGAACCTCCAGCTGTACCTCACAGTAATGAGTATGAGTAGTACAATGCCATTAAGGGACAACACTATGCATGCACTGTGCAGCAAGTTCCATGAGTGCAGACTGACATCTTGGAAAGATTATCTCGGATACCTTTGGTTCCAGTCTGGATTCTCAAAGGTACATGCTCTAGCAGTCAGGTTATTTTATCTCAGTTCTTTATTCCCAATTCCTTATATCACTAAGTTTTCAAAACAGTACTTGCAATACTAAACCTAAAATAAAGCAAGTTAAATTAACTTATTCTCTGTACAAATATCAAACCAAAGCCATTTAGAGATTACTTACACTAAGGCAGCAGGTGATATCTGATAACATCGGCTAAGACACAGATGTTGTAGAAAGATGAGTCGATGAAAATACTGGAAGCACTCAGGCTTTAACATCACACTGTCACTGTACATGACAGCACATGAAATAGAGGTTTAAGGATAAAGCAGCAGTAAATTTAGTATTTCCAAAATTCAGGCTGAGAAATTTAATGAGTATCAACTTTTTCTACCACTGAAGTATTTTTTTTTCTCAGTATGGAAGTAACCCATTTTTAGTGTGTTTGTGTTGTAAGGGAGGGATTTTGATTTTCACTGAAGAGCAAGTGAAGCAGAAGCTTCTCTGCAGGCAGATATTCTGCAGCAGAACTCATGCCATGAAAAGGCATTTACTTTACACATCGAGATTTCAAAATATTTTAATTGACTAGGTCAAAGCCAAAATACACTTTTTTTTTTTTACAGTTCTATGGCCAAGTAACAAATTTTTATCAGAGCTGAACTAAACCCTGTCTAGGATGCTAGGCTCATAAACTGTATGCATCTCAATGCTTCCTTCCACTCCGCATATTGACTACGATCACTTGTTAGTTAACAAATCCTGTACATCTGTAACATTTATGCTGAGGTGACAAAGAAATCTTCAAGTTAGTTACCTGCTCCGGATTAGGTCATGCTAGATAGCAAATCTTATGTAGGTTTAGCATAGAAAGTATTTTCTGGTTGTGCAGTCCTACACAATCATGCATTATTGCTGTATAATTACTGCACTGCAATAGAATTGGCAATCCCCTGAACCATAAAGATTTAAGGGCTAGCTGCACAGGTATTCTTACCTCAGATCTAAATGGATGAGAAAAGGACATCTTTCCACCAGTGTTTTAATGTCTGAAAAGAGGTCACACAGAGTCAGTCCATCTTTCAGTAACAAAATGAACGTGTTTATACAGCCTACTCACTTCTGTACATGTTCATTTGTATCTTCTCTACTGGAACCCCACAACTGAAACACAACTTTTTGTTAAAAAGATACACACTTGAGACATACAGCATATAGTTTGTCTATCAAGATACCTTACAGGGACTTTTTTTAATCCTCGGCAAAAGAGATTCGTTTAGTCCAAAGAAGTGTCCCTAAAAGTCAATTGCACCAGCAACTTAGCAAGTGAATAATTCAAATGATATTGCTGTAGGAATCTACTGAGACACAGTAATAGTGAGATGCCTGAAATTCTGACATGTAGTGAAAAAAAAAATCAGAAGCTTTCCACACATCAAATACCCTTTCAGAGCATCAAGTTCTTTAGGCTTCTCCATTTTTACCCACAGAAGGTTCCTTCCTCATGACAAAGGTATGGTTCTCCTGAATTAGACTGTAAATTCTCGAGACCATCTTTTCATTGTCTGCAAATAGCATAGAATCACCTGTGGCTCAGATATCACCTAAAAGGCCACTATTATTAGCAAGGTGCTAATCAACATGCAAGAGGATTTTGGTATTTCAGAATTCACATGCAAAAAATAAAGAAAACAATTCCTAAATTATGATGATTAGTGAACTACTCAAATCTTATGCCTTATGAATTGCACAGAAACAGAGAAAAATTACTCGTAGTAAGTGTTTTGCAAACAGACGAGCTGCGCACTTTGTCTCTAATGGTCAGATCAACAGAAGGTTCAAATTCCTGATTTGAAGGAGATTATGTAGCATGTTTGTTTATGGGTTTTGGGCTGAGATAAAAAGATGACTAGTGTATTTCCCCACAAGGGAATGCATGCTGAGGTCTATGTGACATCTAAACAGAAAAAAAAGAGAGGTAACAGCCTGTGTGTCACCTACCAGCTTGTCATCATCACATTTGCTCACTGAGAAAATTAATTTCTCTTTACCACCAAAGCTGTTTCACCCTTTCTCTATGCTTTTGTCCATTTTTTTGTGCCCTCTCCCCAAATCTAGATTTCTCTGCATTTTCTGATAGCCTGCAACTTTACTGTAGTTTTCCTCCTAGAACTATTAGCAAGTAAATAGTTAATGTTGATTACTGAGATTATTTGCCTTCCAAATTAACTGGTATCTGTAGGACATCATGTCGGGCTGAAACTCAAGTAGTCACTATGACTGTTCTCTTTTGGAAGATGCCTTTAGCAGCAACAATAGCAGAAGCTTAAGAAGGGTCCAAGAACAGTACCTGGAAGGCTAATTCACAGTTCACGGTGGAATTATGGGATCCAGTGTATCCTGCTTCCAGGATTTACTTCAGAAGTAAGGGCTGTACCTTTCAACTGAAGATGAAATAAGCTTTCACCTGACTATTTTTAAAATCAGAAGACAAATCATCTCACCCCTCATGACTAAGCCAGAGACATGAGTAAGATTCTCTGACAGCAAGAACATCAAGCTATACAGAGCACAAAATCAGTGTTAGTGCATGATTTTTCTATACACACAGCAGATGCCAACCAGAAGAAAATATAAAGCCTGTTGCTTTATCCCATAGTGGGATAAAGGTTTGCCATGCTGATATTTACCTGGTATTTGTAGATTCTGTCTGTATCCACTTAAATTTAATTGGGTTACTTTTGAAGTAATATGATTGACTGCTGCTTTGACATGGGTGGCGGTGAAGTCACACCAGGACAAGTTCAGCTCCTCCAGCCTACACGCAAATAAACAAAGAGCTGTTTGGAAGAATGACTGAAACAGTCTGAGTTCTGATATTACCTATTACAGTTGATACTTGTAAGACAAAAACTTGTAACACACCTACTTCCTGTATTCATGACTACAAATTTCGCTATGACAATAATTAAGCACCAGAGCAGATTGCCCAGCAAAGCTGTGGAATCTGTCTTTGAAAGTTTTCAAGATGCAACCAGAGAAAGTCCTCATCAACCTGGCCAGTGCTGACTTTAGACCCTGCTCTGGGCAAGGGGTTGAAGTGACTTCCCAAGGCCACTTCCAATTGGAACGATTCAATTGGAATCAACTTAGGAAGTGAAATGGTTCTTTCTGGGGACTGCCACAGGGACACACTGTCTTTTCATCGTGCTTCTGGGTTTGTGACCTGAATCTGTTGCTACTGAACAGATGTTCACATTGAGAGAAAAAAACGCTATCCATTATTAGCATTGGTCAGATGATGAATTAATCCCAATAAGCAAAAAATACTTCATAGTTTTATGTAAGCATTGGCCACACTGTGACCTTAACTTTGTTTACATGCTTGATTACCTATAGCCTCTCACCATTCAGGGCTGGGACAAAGCGTTTAGTTTTGCGTGCAGGTGTTGTAGATGTAACCAGAGGACAAAGACAGTGAACAACACAACGACAGCATTTAGCTGGCAATCTCTATGTAAAATTAAAAAACAGTTAAATTGCCACTAGCATTCCTAGGATCAGGTTTGCCATCTGCTATTCACTGTGCAGACTGCCATTCTCTAAAGAGCTCATGATCCAAGTAATCAAAGCAAGCAACAGAAAGCATTATCTACCCATGAGAGGTAGAGAAAGATTAAGGCTGTCTGTCCAGAACTTGCAGTTTGATTAAAAGCATGCTTTTGCAGAAGCAAAGATTAAGCAGATTGCCCAGCATCTCACAGGAAGTCAGCAGAAAGATCAGGATATAAATCCCAGATTGACTGGGGCTCAGTTCAGTGACTTCCTGCCAGCAGATGGTTTAATCACTGGAGCTGTCAATCTGAACACAGTGCTTCATAAAGTAGAAGGTTACTGAAGGATTATTCTATCATGGATGGAAAGGCACAATGTTTTCTGCCATTCATGCTGTACTCTGATTGCAAAGGGAGCTCTGGGACTCCACTCTTCAGTTTCAAAACACACACTTCCACTGCTTTCATTAAGAAAATCAAATTTACATGATAATCAAAGAAATATAAATGGGGTTTACCTACCAACAAGACTTCCTTTAAGGATAATTAAGGAAATTCATGAAAAACTACTGAAGTACATCTTTGCTATCAAAGAAGAAATACACTGATGGAAAGAAACTGACTATTCAGCTAATAATCAACCATTAGGCATTTAGGAACAGAAACAGGCTCATAAAAAAAGGTATTAGGAGACAAGTACAATTGGGATGCCTACGGAAAAAAATAAAAAGGATCCTTTTTCTCAGGAATAGCTGTAAGCAGGAAGAGCAAAAACTATTTTTGTCTTACGTAGAACAGCTGTTCAACATCAGCTTCAAGGCTGCTGCAGAAAACCCTGAGCACCCACAGAGATTTAGTCGCATCAAACTGGGATTCTTAGCAATGCTCCTGTAGAGAAGAAAAAAGAAAAGTCTGATAAAATTTAAATGCTGGAACATTGCTTGTGTTGCTAGGGTGTGTGATTGTTTTTAAGAGCTAAGATCCCAGGCAGAGAACTATTCGTTAAACATGCAGCACTGCATCTTTAGTAAACTGACCAACCTAGGAGTCACTAAGGATCTCAGTTCTGTACTTGCTGCATCAAGGCACAACTTCCAAAGGGTTACTTGCCTATTTACCTGACCTTCCTGACAAGTCTGCGTATGTATGAACTGCTAAGTTTAAAAGGAAACATTTTCTTTTCAGCCTCTCCTGTTGTATGCCATTAAACACACACCATGGCTTATTACAGATGACTATACATCTACAAATGACAAAGCAATCATCCCATTTCTGAAGTCACCCCTCTGCAAGATGGAAGTTATTCCAGAACAAAACACATGTCCAAATAGCATCCCCCTGAATGCATCTGTTTGCAAGACTAGAGCAGACAAGCAGTTCGCAAAACCTGGAAAAACCCTTACACCCAGTATCTACAGTTGTACACAAGGCAATAAAATTAAATTATTGGTGCCTAATTAGTATCCAATTTTCAGATACATTTTATCTCGTATCAAAAGCTAAACTATATTGGTTTATTCATGCTCTGGTTTTTTTTTTCTTCCCTCTGGTGTGAGGAAGGCATCAGAAAGCTCAAAAGTAGAAAGCAGGACACCTGGAGTCTCTGCCATCTGACCTATTATTAGTCCTTGGCACCTCCACATCACCTGATGTGATTGAAGAGGAGGTGGAATGCACACCCGTTAGTGTCTTTCCAGTTTAACCAAACACCAGTTCACTTGTTTGACAGAATCCATAGTTTTCCAGACACTTATGAGTGAAGTTCAACAAAGAAGTGAGAAATAGTGCAGAAGCACAATGAGCATCTGGCAGGAGAGCTGTTGAGACCCCATAAAATAGAAAAGAACCTGTATGCCAAACACAGTTATACTGGGAGCACAGAAAGGGGAAAATAAAAGTAGCTTTGCTGTACGGCTTGGCTGCAGGAACAGACAATGGACACAAACTCTATAGAGATATGAGCGTTTCTCCAGGCTCACCCTACTCTGAAGAATGAAAAAAAAGCCACCAACAAACACTCTTCCAGAGGGGTGTTTCCTCCTCACCTCAACTCCCAGAGGATAAAGAGGGAACAGGCAGCTCATCTAGCCTGCCAGCTAGCTCTGTTATGTGCCTAAAACTGGCCATTTCAAAAGACTCCCACAAAGAACAACTCTCAGCTGCATTCTTTTGCTAGCCTACACAAAATGATAGCACCAAACAGAAGGTATTTACTGAATATTCCCAAACGTGTCACTCACTTGATGATGTCATCAGAAAGCACTAGTCCCTCCAAGCTGAGGTTCTGCAGCTTTTCACACCGGCAGAGAATACTCTGGAGATCTGCAGCAGACACCGTGCAGTTCGACAAATCCATATGTTGAACTCTGAGAGGTCTAAAAAAGGAGAAAGGCAGGTTACTAAAATTGCATTGAAACCTGCTCCACAAAATGCCCATACCATAAATATACCCCATACACTGAAACCGTGAAAAGCTTGCAGAAAATAATTATACTGTTGTATTCAGCTGCACACTGGACATTCTACTAAGCTCACTGGGCCTACCGCTAAGCTACCAGCCAAAACTGCAGAACTCTTATCTTCAAGGCATCATCCTTCAGGATTCATCATTGAAAGTCTATCCTGCTGGAGTTAAATTTTGAGCTTCCCATATTAAAAATGCTGGAGATGATGACAATTCTTGGTTCTACAGATATAAATTGCAACGATGATGGTGCTTAATACTTCCAAGAATCCTATTAACTTGGTTTAAATAACTGAGAGGTGAATGCAGATCCTCTTATTTCAAGACATTGCCTAACCATTGATCAGCTCTTCCACACTCCAGAGACAGTACAAATGCTACTACCAGTGGAGACCTTAAAACAAAAAATACACAGAGAAACTGTGACTATTTGAGACATTGTTTCAGGATCCAGAACATGCAGAAAAAAACCTTACTTGCTTGTTTTAAACAACGGATTCCCAATACAAGATCTTGGGCAGCGGAATACAGTAACACCGGCAGGCAGCAACTGTCCAATCACTCCTGGCAGCAGACTTCTACCAGTCAGATCAAGACTCTGCCAGAGAGATTCATCAAACCTAAGGCACAGAATTTTACTTGTTAGTGAGTTAGAAAGGGTCAGAACTATGAGTACAACCACAGAAAGTTTTAAGTGTCATGAAAGACTGAGAGGAGGCAAAGCTATTTAGTAGAATTTACTAATGTTAAAATAATGTGAACCATCTTTTGATTATACATACATTTAACCCACATACAGCATAAATGGAATTATACATGAGTAAACAAGATAAGAACCAGATCATTTAACAGTCTATGGAAGCAAAGGTTTTCTTAGTACTAAATGATGAGAAGTAATACTTACGAAAGACAATGCCATCTCTTGCAAACCAGGGAAACTTTTAGCAAGTCATTTAGGGGCAAATATGCAAAGATTGCCAAAAGCAATTCATCTGGAAGTGTATCCCAAAAAACACCTTTAGGGAAAGAGCAAACGTGTTCTAGTTAAAGCTGGTTCATTTTTGCCTGCTGATCAGATGCCTTGTTTGGCTCGGTTGTTAAAAGCACCTCTACAGTCTCGCTCTAGGCTATATAGACATCAGCCCACTACTCATCCCCCTTTCAGCTCTTCCTTGTAGGAAGACATTATTACCACCTTTACCTAGGTATGACTGGCAAATCCAAAACTTTCCGTAACATTGTCCTGGTTTCAGCTGGCACAGAGTTAACTGTCTTCCTAAAAGCTGGTATAGTGCTATGTTTTGATTTCAGTGTGAGAAGAATGTTGGTAACACACTGATGTTTTCAGTTGTTGCTCAGTAGTGTTTAGACTGAAGTCAAGGACTTTTCAGCTTCTCATGCCCAGCCAGCGAGAAAGCTGGAGGGGCACAAGAAGTTGGGACAGGGGACAGCCAGGACACCTGACCCAAACTGGCCAAAGGGATATTCCATACCATGTAACATCATGTCCAGTATATAAACTGGGGGGAGTGGGGCTGGGGGGAATCGCCACTTGGGGACTAACTGGGCATCAGTCAGCAAGTGGTAAGCAATTGCATTGTGCATCACTGGTATATTCCAATCCTTTTATTATCATTATTATTGTCATTTTAGTAGTGTTATCATTATCATTGTTAGTTTCTTCTTTTCTGTTCTATTAAACTGTTCTTATTTCAACCCACGAGTTTTACTTTTTTTTCTGATTCTCTCCCCCATCCCACTGGGTGGGGGGGGGAGTGAGTGAGCAGCTGCGTGGTGCTTAGTTACTGGCTGGGGTTAAACCACAACAAACTTCACCTTAGTATACACACTAAAGCTATGGAAAAACAATTTCCCTGAAAAAATGACAATAATCTTTATTCACATGCTCATTTTGGAAACGAGCATCTCAGTTACTTCCTTTATATTCTGAGGCTTGTACGGTCCTTTCCCTCCCACCCCCCAGCTGAAACGCCCATCCTTCCTGTCCACGTTAGGCTCCCAGAAGGGAGTCCAAAGTGAGCTATGCTTTTGCATGGTGCATGGAGAAAAGCTGGTACTGCAAACTGCTCCTTAAAACATGCACGCTAACTACCACCCCCCAAGAACTGTCTCAAAGGATGTGGTGTGATCTCAACTTCTCACAAGTAGATACAGGGCTCCAGAAGGTGTTGCCATTCACATGGGAGATTTTGGCGTGGTGGTGCTCAACAGCTGCCTATAACTCAGTACTCTGTCTTATTTAAAAGCAGGGTGGTCTGAGGGCATTCCCACCTTTCATATGACAGCCTAGTAACCGGAGAGAGCCACTTCTTTATTTTGCATTCTGTAGTCGCTGCACACTGGAAATACATGCTGATACCAGGCAAAGGAACCCAGCATCCTGTAACCCTTTCTTCAAGTGCCCCAGGTCTTCGGGTTACAGCCCTGCTCTTTCCCTGCCAGTCCCTTTCTAGCCCAGGAGCCTGACACCCTTTGCTGCACCTTCCCTGTAGCTCTCTGGCAAAGTCCCTTGCATTGCTGGCAGCTCAGCTCCAACACGAGCGGAGATGTTGCCCCTCCGGCATACCTCAGCCAGCACTGTGAGAGATGTGAATCTAGATCCCTTTGGTCTCGAGGACCAAGTATCTTGCTGCTTAGCTGCTTAAGTTAAAAAAAAAAAAAAAAAATCAAGCCCCCCCGGGTTTCAAAATTATATTGGGAGCAGCAGTGCCAATAGCCCATATTCATCTGGCAGCCACAGCTGTATTTTGTGAGGAGCCTGGCCCCGCCTGGTATGTGGTGAAACACCTCCTGGAACGGGTCCGTCAGGCAGAGCAACGGATGCAGCTCAGGGCCCAGCTGGGCCAAGGTGGCCCCCGAGTCCCAAGCAGCAAGAGCAGACAGACAGAGGGACATGCAGCACAAACCCCCAGCACACAGACGGGGGCTGGCGGGGCTAGGCAGGAGCCAACCGTGGCTTACATGGGCCACAGTTCTGGAGCCAGACATGCCACCTCTGCTTAAAGGCTCACATAAAACAGGACTTACCAGCCCAAGCCTGAAAGCCACTAGATCTAGAAGTGATACTCTGCCGGGAAAGAGCAAAAAAGGCAAAGAATACAGTACTACAGACTTGTGATGCCCACTCTCCATCTCTGCTGAAGGGTGAACGAAACCTGGACCAGGGTGACGGTACCTGGCTCTGCCTCTTGAAGCAGCCGAGACCGGCGCACAATGACAAAGTCCTTTTCTTTCTCCTTCACCTTCAGCCGTTTCTGAGGAGGACAGGGCGACGACACCAGCAGGTCCTGGGGCGTGTTTTCATTGCCCAGCTTGTCCTTCTTGAGGACTGACACTCCCACGCTCGAGAGGAACTCCGAGGTCTTGCTGGCGTCCCAGTCCCAGGTGAAGCTGGTGGAAACGTTGCTGCTGGAGGACGGGATCTCCCGGAGGTGTTTTCTGCGAACCCGGCAAAACCCACAGGCTCTGAGGGTACCACCAGACCGGCGCCCGGCACGACGCGGGGGCTCCTCGCAGGGAAGCCCCCCCGCAGCCACGCGCAATCCGCATCCCCACGCGGGGCCCAGTCGCTGGAATTAAAACCGCGGCGCTGGAAGCCCGCGCGCTCCGCCGGGCACACTCACGCCCACAACCCTGCGGGGGCGAAGCGCGCCCCGTTCGCGGGTGGAGGGGGGCCGGGACCCCGCCGACCGAGGCCGGTCGGGGATCCCAGCGCGGCCGCGGAAGGGGCCGGCACCGGGCACCCGGCACCCGGCCGGCAGGGACCGGGCGGGACGGCCG